GGCATACTTCGAAACCCGGACCGGACTCGGACTCGGACTCGGACCCGGACTCGAAGAAAATCCGGACTCGAGAAAAACCCGGACCCGGACTCGAAGAAAATCCGGACTCGTGTTTAACAAAACCCGGACTTGACTTTTGAAAACCCGGACTCGAAATAAGGCAAAACCGGATTCAAATCAAGGACTCTGTGTACGAAAATGCAAAGGTTTTTTGGAAAGGTTTAATAATTAGTAACATGATAAACGATGATCTCTTTATATCTTTATCTCGATATTTTTAATCTTCTGCTGTTAACAAAATAATCACTTATATAAGTGCCTAAATGATTTGGTTCCAGTATATCTAAGTTATTAAAAACTAAAATGTATTGATGCACAACGATCTACAATTAGTAGCTAGTACGAGGGTAGCATGTTGATTGTTGATTCTCAAAATAACGTTAACTTGATTTATTGTCAAACTTCATTGTCAGTATCGAGCCGCGGTTGTATGCAAGGCATATGGGGCAATCGACGAACGCACTGCCTAACGAGAGAGTCTCAATATCAAATTTACGCCAACCATCCAACGCGAATTTCACTGTCGGCCGCGGGTGCAGGCTTGCAGCTGTTGCTTTCATTGTGATGTGTTTTCTACTACTTTCGGATAAAGAATAATTGCGGGTGTTCAATTCGTGTTTATGGACTTCATATTAACGAAATAGAGAAAATAAACGTGTTTCCAGTAGCGTCTTGTCCAACTATTTGAGAGCATGTTATAATATCAAATTTATGTCCATCCGCACAACAACGCTCGAATTACTTCACAGTCGGTATTTAGGCGCGGTTGCCGCGATACCTTCATTGCCTTCAACATGAGATGTGCTTTTCCGGCGTTCTTTTCGATTGGTTGAAGTTATACTTTTGAGTGGTTGAAGTCTAGTTATTTTTCGTGTCATTTTGCCGATAGTGAGGTCGAATATGTTGAGGATATATTTTACCCTTGCCGCCATCGATCACGTTGAGTCTGCTATGCTGAGTCAGATTTCAGTTATTAATTTATGTCTAGGGTAGATTTAGCTACTCGCAGGAGTATGTATTTTACAAATATGTTGTGTATGGTCAGCGTGGTTCAATAAATTTTTAAATAAATTTTTAAATTAAGTAAGTAAGCAAGTATGTATAAGGCTAAATGATTTGTTTAGGTAGGCTATATAGTGATTGTTTTGTGAGGAACCATATAGTATGATAACTGATTAGTATCCTCAGATAACGCATAACACTGAGTCACTAGAAGAAAAAAATATCTATATCTTTCGAAACCAAAGCTTTTTGAAATAAAGTATTTTATTATATACATAAGCGAGAAGAGAAAGGAGCACCCGCGCAAGAGCACAAATCCATTTATCCGCGAGTTATTACCGATAAAACCTTTGCATTCTCGTGCACAGAGTTCTTGTTTTGAATCCGGTTTTGTCTATTTCGAATCCGGGTTTTCAGAAGTCAAGTCCGGGTTTTGTTAAACACGAGTCCGGATTTTCTTCGAGTCCGGGTCCGGGTTTTTCTCGAGTCCGGATTTTCTTCGAGTCCGAGTCCGGGTCCGAGTCCGAGTCCGGTCCGGGTTTCGAAGTATGCCCTACTTTCATCAATCATACCGGATGTTTTCATTCAACAGCATATAAACATCGAATATTCAAATGTATATACTGATTCAAATCACCACAGGATATGACAGTATATATACTTAGTGCAACAAAGACAAAGTTAATCCTTCATTTGGCGAACAGCAAGGACAGAGAAAGTATATACAAAAATCGTAAGGAGCTATCGTCGTCGTAAAGGGAAGAAAATCGGTCCCGAATCAAATGCGGTTTCGGTTTACACACACGTAAATGGCTTTCGCATTCAAAACCGGTTTCGTTTGGTACTGTCTATGTCTAGTTGTCTGTTTTGGCGGAAATACGGTAACAGCATCCTTTGAAATCCAACGAGAAAAAATCGATACATTTACTAACTTAGAATGTCAGAAACCAAATAATTGTACAGACGAGCAGTGTGCGAAGTACGGAGCTAAATGTGTAGATGATAAATGCAAACGTTGTCGGTGTAAGGTCGGTAGCGCCACATTCCTGGCGTCTGACTCCACCACAGGCAATTGTACTAAAGACGAAAATATCATTCCGGAGTCAGGTATGAATGATATATTTTATATTTATTCATACTTATACTGTGTATACAAGGTGAATTTCGGTATCTCCTCTTTATTGTGTAATTCAGACGTCGATAAACTATTTACGTATTTGATATGTTATCAACAACAACTTGCGCGAAAAGTGAATTAAGTTATACTACGATAATATATATAATAATAGGAAGTAGCTATAAGTTGCTCTATATTTGATGATTTGAAACCGAAACTTCTAATATTATAATATTACAATCAATATTCACGGAGCATATAGACAAAGGTCTTTGGCTTTCCTGTCAGACCGTATCAATTCAGACGTGATCTGTTTTGATATATAATTGATATGTATTA